TAAAGACAGTTGTAATCTACCGGGGGCATTAGGAGAGCATGATCCTAGTAGTCCCATGCCGAACTTTGGACAACCTTGTTGTCTTCGTTTAGAGGTCCCAAGGATGCGTGTTGTTGCTGACGCTCTCCTCTACAATCACGGGAGCACCATCCATCACCAACAAATTCCAGAGGACCAAGTGAGGGTTACAGTTACGACTGTTCGAGAGGGAGAGATAGGAGCGGATGTGCCATTCCCGACTACTGAAGTTGTGAAGTTAAGTCAGGCAATTGGAACTTTCATTCTTTGGCCTAGACACCTTGTCGATGAGGAGATAATACCTTTGATGGTAAGAAAATGTCATGCTGTATTGTGTGAATTTTTTTTAACATAATACTTATAATACTTATTATGTTTATTTGATGTTTCATTAGGACCAGAAAGATGTTGATAGATATCCTTGCTTGGCACAATTATATGAGGAATATAAAACAATTAACAAGGTCAACATAAAGATGCCTGTAGGGATTGTGGGTGAAGAAAAATCATATTTCTTTGGACTTGACAACAACGATATCAAGGAATTCTTATCTTTGAAGGAGTTGGACATAGCATGGCTTCAATTAGCAATCATGTAAGTTTATTTTTTCATTTCTAACTTAAACTTCTAATTTCTTACTTTGCACATGCTAATAATTACCTTATTTCAATTCAATAATAGCTTTTTCCATAACAAATGCATGTCATCAATGGAGAAGAGAAATTTGTATGGATATTTATGCCCTGTAAGTGTCCAGAAGAAGTACAACCCACTAGATAGGAGAATCAGATATGTGGGCAATACGATTGGAGACACTAAATTACCTTGTTATTTGGCACCAATTATTGAAGGGCAAGTAGCTTAATTATATTTTTTTAGACATACTTAAATTGCTAAGAATTATTGTGATATCCAATAATGTATAAGTCTTATTCTATGATGCAGTCATCATTGGAGTTTGTGTGTTTCTTGTCCTATCAACAATGTCATCTACTGGTTTGATCCCTTGGGTCGTCGTCCAAGCACTGAGATGAGGGGCATTTTCAACACGTAAGTACCTTAATGTAGATCAATAATTTTGTTTTACTATAAATTATTTAACTTGTGTTTCATTTGCTTATAGGGCTTTAAAGACTTATTATATAACCGGTGGAAGTGTTCTGGCAAAAATGGCCCAACAACTTGGGTCTATCCCTACGTGAGTACTTTGAATTGAAGTTCTTTCATTGATGAGTTATTTTATATATGAATTTAGATTATCATTTCCTTGTGATTTGTAGTGTGCTAAGCAACGAGGGTCAACAAAGTGCGGATATTACATTATCCATTATATGTTTGAAATTATTGAGAGTGGATGTACTATAAAATTTGATGAGGTAAGTAAATATAATTTTAGTTTTGTAATAGTTGTTGAATTTTTAAATTGAATTGTTATTTATTTTATTTTCTTCATATGTTTAAATTTGTTCATTTGTCAATTTACAGATTTTTGATAATGACTGTTCATATACTGTTGATGATATTGACTTCATCCGAGACCTTTTGGCACAACAACTGATTCAAGAATGGTGGTATAGGGATTGATCAAGTTTATGTTTATAGAGATAATAGGTTATCAATTTTGACTTTTGCAATATATTGATGAAGTTGTGATGTTGATATGTCTTGGCTGAAAATATTGACTGGTTCATTCTATTTCAACTTGCTGGAAAGTGGCTATTATGGCTATTGTGGCTGTAGGGGAAGTGGTACATACGAAGTGAATTTTTTTTTTTTTAAGAAAAAGGAGGACATTCACGTCTGTTTTAGGAAACAAAAGTAAAAAATCATACTTTTAATCTCTGTTTTACACCAAAACAGACGTCAATTTACCTCTGTTTTATTAAAGCAGAGGTAAATTGACGTCTGTTTCTCCAAAACCATACGTGAATTCATGTCTGGTCTTTTTAAACTAGACGTGAATTTACGTCTGTTTTTGGAGAAATAGAAGTAAAAAAGTGATTTTTTACTTCTGTTTAAAACAGACGTAAATAACACCATTATTCGCTTATGTTCAAAACAGAAGTAAAAAGGGGATACTTTTTATGTCCCTTCTTTTCATGTTCCCCGCAAAACAGAAGTAAAAAGTCATGGAAAATAGAAGTAAAAAGTCTTCATTGTAGTAGTGACAAGCCCTCTGTTCAAGTTTACTATGGTTGAAAAGAGATCTTTTCAGCTTCCTTCTAATGGCTCTTTTGTCCTTGTTAGTGGTAGTTTCACCCAAAAGAGAGGTGAACTAGGTGATAAAAATTTTCTCTTAAAAAAAACAGATAACAAAAATGAGAGAAGTAAAAGAGCTCAGAAAGATTTCACCAAAGAAGAGCAGGAGAGGAGTACACAGGAATTTATACTGGTTCGATCTCAACTACATGACCTACGTCTAGTTCTCAGAACACTTTTGAGTTTTTCACTATACCCAAGACTCAATGGACTCTTAGTGTTCAGTATAATAATTGAGCTCACTCTCAATCACTCATCTTTACTTCCTGTAAGGATACAATCCTCTCAAGAGTCCCATACTCTTGAGTTACTCATTGAAAGAAGTAAATGATTCACAGACTCTCTTTTAAGAGTGTATAGGATAAATATTGACATTCAGAATGGAAAAAGCAGAGTATTGAATGCATAATATTAATTTTAACAGTTGGTAGCTCGATTCATTCACTGCTTTATTCAATGCTCTTCACGATTTTTATAGTTAGAAACTTCCAACTTTCTGTTAGACACAATAGCTTATAACCGTTAGGATATCTTTTACTTGTGTTAGCAGTTGTAATAGTTGTTTTGTATTAAATGCACTTCTGACAGGTAGCTTAAGCCTATAATGTATCCGTTGAGCCTCGTAACCTGCAGATTTGTCTTGATAAAAATGTAATAAATTATTTCACCAGAGAATATAAGTGAATAGGAGAAGAGATGATCATCCTTGAAATTTAATACATGAAGTGAAAAACACAAATCAAGGATCAGAGAATCATAGAAACAATTTATTGAAGATCTCATCGATAAGCAGTTTAATCGATAAAGTTATTGATTAATTAGAAATGAGAATACTTGAAAATCAAACTCATTTATTGAAGTCATTGTGGATTAAGGTCATTGTGGAGAAGGTTATCAATAAAGAATGAAAGTTGACCAAAATGATTTATCAAGAGAAACCTTCTGAAGTTAATTGAAAATATTAATTCCTTGAATCAGTGACCATTCTTACCTTTTATAAAACATATAAGATAATTAATAAAGGCTGAGAAAAGCTTAAATACACCAATAATATCATATTTTTTGAAAGACAGTGTGAAGAACACTTTAGAGCAACATAAATGATCCGTTTAGAAAATGTTATTGATAATTCACTTTATCCAAAAGCTTATCGATAATTGAAGTAACCTTAGGAAACCATTTTACATAGTTTTATCTGAAAGGTTATCGATGAATACGTTTATCGAAAAATTGCTAGGAAAACTCAAAAGAAAAGTAGCTTAGTCAGAGATAAATTATGACAGGACAATGTTACTTTGATCAATAAGATGATCAATAAGTATATTTATCGATTAAGTGATCGATAAGTGTATTTATCGGTAAGGTTATCGATCAAGCTTTGAACAGAACTGAAGGTTTGGGGAAAAAAATAGATAGGAACTTATCAAATAGCTGATTGAACATCAGAAGAAGTTTAGTAAAGCATACTTACTTAGTTTCAAAACACGTTATTGAATATTAAGGACATCGACAAAAGGTTCCATAACATATAAAGTGTTCTAATAGTATATAGTTCACTGAGATTTACCTATTTTTCTGATATTGATCAAAAGCCTCATTTATGTATAAGGTTATTGATAAATGCTTATCAGTAAAGCACAGAGACTTACCATTTATCAGAAAGTTGTTCTGAAACTCTATTTATCAAACAGGTGATTGATAATTCCTTAACAGTAACTACACATTTAGTTAATTATCCAAAAGGTGATTCGAAAATGCATTTATCAAACAAGTTATTGATAAAAGCTTAATAGTAACTATTATGAAAAACATTCAGCCATTTATCCAATACGTGATCGAATAATTCAATTAGCCAACAGGTGATCGATAAACAATTATCAGAAATGAAATGCATAAAGATTTGAATCTTTGTCATTATTAAAACCTTAAATTTAACAGTTCTCAACATCACTTGGCAAGAAACACTTGCCCTTATCCATAGTTTCTCTTCATTTAATATTGTTATTATTTCTAAACCTTGTTTTCTTAGTTTTAATTCTTCTAATGGAGGAATGTTGAATACTTGTAACTTTTTAAGTACTTTTATCACGAATGTCATTTTATCTTTGGTTAAAAAAAACAAGTAAAGTCGGTATATCATAGTTCAAGAATACGGTATTAATTAAAAATTAGAGAGAGTAATTAGAAAAATTGAAGTAGGGAATTGATATCTTTTAAAAGATGCCATTGAAATTAGGATAAACAAAGAGATTATTGAGTAAATTTCTTTTACATACCATGATATCAATGTGTTTCAAAGATGATTAAATTGACGAGGCAACCTAAATAACTCAATGCAGCAATAATTTTAAACAAAAATGCAAAAAAGAAAAGAAAAGAATTAGTAGATAAGAAAATAAGCAAAAAATTATCTGTTGAATTTCAAGATCACAAATACATAATTTTAATATGTTAAGATTTTTATAAAAATAATCCACATAATTTATTTATCATTTTAAAATTTAATAAGTATTTTTATCATTTTTTCAATTTCAATTTTTTTTTTTACAAAAAGACGGGATAAAAACACACGTCATCCTCTTGCCTTTTCCTTACTCCTCGCTGCTCTCTGGGCCATGTACTTGTGAGTTCCATGCCGTCATATTTTCTCTTCGATTCTCTTCAATCCGTGTCATAAATATTTTTCTCTTTTTCCTTTTTGTTCTTTCGTTTTGTATAAATCCAGCTGTGCCTTCTTCAAGTACAGCCGCCATCAATCCGCATCCCAGGCCCGATCCTTTTCTCACGCAGGTCAATTCCAGCCTTTAAGCCTCTCTTCAATTATTTTCTCCACATTTCTTCATTTTTCTCCGATTGGGACATCGTTGTTAGTTGATTCGGAAATTACCTGTCTTCGGAAGGTTCTCGTAATTTCAACTTCACTACAGGCTTTCAGTTCTTGCATTCAACTCAGCATGATTGCTCAGCTAGATTTTGGTTCATAATAATTGACTTTATAGAGTGTCGGTGCGTTAATTTGAGAATTACTTCACATCTATGGGATTTCTGGGTTCTGGGAAGCTGGTTGGTAATGTCTCAAGACAGTTCAGATACTTCTTCGGCTTGCTGCTCAAGATCGGATCATTTGGATTCAGCTTCTGCTGAGCTCAAGCTTTACCGAGCCTTCATTTTCTCTGTACCCATCTTCTTCACTTTCATCCTGCTCTTTCTGTTCTACGTGTTCTACCTTCGACCTCGTCGGGTTGATTGGTCGTCTCTAAGGATGAGAGCGTTTGCGGCTGCCGAGGATAATGACGGTAACTCCAGGGTAAGATTACATCGTTGGCTATTTCTATTTTCGATAGTTTAGGTGAACTTTTGAGTACGGAAAATGAAAACTGATTTGCACATGCATGTTTTGATATTTACCTGTTAATATCTTGTTTCGTGATTGATTTAGCAGTCTGAATTGGGTTTGAAGAAAGAACTGAGAGAGATGCTGCCGATTATCGTTTACAAAGAAAGCTTCTCAGTTAAAGATACACAGTGAGTTAGATGGCTTCTTCGACTTTTTGTGGTGTTTATTTTTATTTAATTTTTTCGCTGTCGCTATGTTCATGTATCGGTTCCTATTTTGTATTTCTTTATGATTATTAAGCAATTTTTGGAAATGGAAATTCTTGCACAGACTTGGTCTGCTAATTTGCCTATAAAATGCACCAAATGCGCGTATAAAAGTGAGATCCACCAAAAACTGACATTTTAGATGGTTATTTTGCCCTGTTCTACCCTATTGAAAGTTTAAGTCCATGTAAGATTTTCTCTCCTGGGAGAGTCCTTTGGCTTAATTAGGGACTGGGAATAACCTTGACTATATGTTGTGAATTCATGGAAAGTATGGTTTGTGGGGAAGGGACCTAACAGTTAGCTTAGTTGAAGCCGGAGGGACAGGGATATTTGCAATACGTTGAAATATATTATTTTTCAATCTGGCTTGTTTGTCAGCTGGAACTTGCTTGATTCCGTTATGAACTAAGCTTGAAGTGAAATTAGCTTGTTTATTAGTCAAGGTGAGTACTGTTTTATCATACTCTTAAATGGACTTTTGGTCAACACATAGTCAATTATTTGTGTAGTTACTTTTATTGTATGATCCGTTTTTCATTTATCTTGCAACGTGGTAAACATCAGAAATTTAAGCGGTAAATTTGGGTGCAATAATAATTGCATCATGAGTGGGCATCTTAAGACGTTGAATAGTAAAGTCTCTTGATCATGAAGTTCTAACATGATATATGTTATATTAAAGTCAGAGCCTAGAGATATCATTTGAATAACTGTTTTTTAATGGAAAAAATAGTGTTTGAAATACATAAATTATGTATTTTAATGAAGCAGATGCAGGTAAAAACCAACGTTTTTAATGGAAAAGACTGCCATAAATAATTGATGTTCCATGCTGGAAAAGATACCAGGAGGAATTATGATACGTGATCAGTATTCAGTCATGAAAATTGACTGCAGCTATGATGCACAGATTTTGGTGTGCTTTTTGATTCTGAAACCACATGACTAGGGCATATGGCAGATTTTGAAAAATCTAGGGTACAGCATAGAGGTTAATCAGGCTATTATCAATTAAAAACTAAAATTGCAGTTATATATATTTAGAAGCTAACAATAATATTGAGGATTTGATTACTTAGTGAGCATTAAATATGTTCAAATTTTCTTTTTTATTTTCTCACGGTTAAAGCATTTTTTAGGTCATATTTCATTTCAGTTTAAAGTAGTTTAAGAGCACTTGCTTCTTCTTGTTTTTTCCCCCCCTGGGATTTTGGAATGCTTCGATGCAGGTTAGAAAGGATTTCACCTGTTTCTGACTTGTAATAGTTTGGCATTGCCTAAGATGTATCGGGCAAAATTTTTCCAGAAGGGGTATCGCAAATCAGGCGTATGGTGTACCTTATACTGACATGAATAAGCTAATAAAAGCAAGTAACCTTGCATATTTTGATTCATTGTTGGAGTGCACGATGCCTGCTGACTTTTTATTTTTCATTCACTTAGCAATGACAATTTTAAGGGAGAATTACATATAGGTCTCAAATAAGAAAATTACTTTCTCAGAATTCTAACCACTTGTGGATACAAGAGTTTGACGTGTAAATGGGACTGAGGAAATAATTAATTTCCTTATTGGGGATCTGTTTGTAGCTCCTTAATCTTAAATGAGAAAAACTGGCTCGGAAACAATCTTCTGGAAAGTTTCTTCACAGTAGCTTCTGGGTCCTAGAATACTTTGTGCATGGGTATTCTCAAGTTATTTGATAAAACTTGTTTTGCTCTCTTCATTTATTGTTGAGATTTAGACTGCATATTAGAGGGAGCTTAGTTATTGTGGGCTGTCCGTATGATAAGATGGTTTGAATGCAGCAGCAGCATGATATATTCCTCTTGGATAAAATTCACAGTGAAAGCAAAATATTTGCCCCTTACCTCATAAGATGTATAAAGAAAAAGTTATCGCAAGAATTTTCCATTGCAGGACATCACACTACTTTTGATCTTTTCGATCCTCTGAATTTTAGCACTTCATTTGTTTTAACGTGTTGATTTCTGTTTCTGTTTAACTTGGCAATATAGAGAAGCTCATGTTCTTCTTCAGTTTAGGGGAATTTGAACCAAGACCTGTACTATCTATCCTAATTGATGAGTTATCTTGTGGCAGATGCTCAGTTTGCCTTTTGGACTACCAACCAGAAGACAAGCTTCAACAGATACCTGCATGCGGCCATACATTTCACATGAGCTGCATTGATCTTTGGCTCACCAACCACAGCACCTGCCCTCTCTGTCGCTTGTCCCTTTTAGCTTCTGCTAAATCTTCAACTGAGACATCTAATTTACAGGTAGAAGTGGGTAATTACTGATCATTTTGGAGACAGGTATATATAGGGGTCTGTATTTGACACTCCAAACACATGCAGCGATTTGATCATGAATTAGCTGATAATCATTTAATTAATTGCAAGCATCTAACTGCAGCGTCATAAATGTGTAAACTTACAGATATTATGTTTATGAATATCAAAAAATGAAAACTTATCAAAACTTATGACCCATCAAATACACGTGTTCTTCATTAATATACCTCAAAACACATACTTATCAAAAGTTAAGGGTAAATTTACGCATATTATGTTTATGAATGTCAACATCACATTACAGGATGAGACTAGATGTTGACGGTTAAAAACTTTTTGAGCCTTTTTTTATCTGAAGGGAAAAAAAAAAAATCAGTAAGTTGTACCTTGCCATCGCACAGATGAATGATTATAATACGATAATAACAATGAAATAATTTTTGGCAGAGACCATCTAGCAATGAAGAAACACCAACTGCACAATTCTCTGAATCAAGATCTACAACTCATCCAGATAATAGTGTTGCCCAAAGTTGCTCTAGAGATAATGCAGGCAGTGCCCACTGTATTGATATTGAAAGAGGAAATGGAGAAACCAGTTAGAAGAGGTGTGGAGACGTGAGAGGCTTGTTATGGTAATTTTCGGGTTGATTTTATAGTGTCTTCATCTGTTTGTGAAACTAAGTGAAACTAATATATCATTTATCAATAAAGGTATTTTGCAACTTTTAGATGTGCCAAGGGTTACATGAATATCTATTATCAGTCTATTGCTTATATCTGCCGCATTTTTGCTGGGAAAGTAACTTGTTTAAATAATTTGTGATGACTGGTTTCTATATTGGGAAGGAGCGTAAGAGAGACATTATTTAAGGAACAGTCATAATTTCGAGAGAAGATAATTTTTTTTTTTTTTGGGGAGGGGGCAGGGGCGGTGAAGAGATAAAAACGTGCAATTTTACAATATTTTATTATGCTTCATGCTGTAAGATGATTTAACACTATGTTATTATATTAGTAAGGAGAATGCTTTCCTTTGACAGAATACAATGTTGAGGTGAGCATTTCCAATTAGATAATTGAAAAACTATTTCAGGTAAGTTTCAATATTGAACAGCATCTACTTTTCTCAATTTAAGACCTGTAGTGTTATATACTTCAATTTCCTTCTTATCCCCTTTAGGATTCTTTCAGCGATTCCGTCTTTTGTAGATCTTTATTCAAGAGAAACTACAACTCTAAGCTGACTTTTCCTTACTATTATTGTCCCCAGAGAAAAGTACGGTATCACTTTATAATTAGCTACTAAATGAAAGACACATATATAACAAATGTTAACAAACTAATGGTAACATAAGCATCTAATCTAGAAAGATTTTACATTCCAATTCCTGACCATCTGTCTATAATTACATTTTTTGGGTCCTTCTTTTAATGATAAAACTTAAATCAAGTTCCTTACAACAATTATGTCAAGTTCTTCAATCACACTTTGTTATGTGTCCTATTTGTTTTTTTTCCCCCCATCATCATTTAACCCTAAACCCATATGAAAAGACAGGATACATGGCCGTGTGTGAGGAGAACTTGACATAATGGTTATAAGTTTGATCTCAGCATTGTCTTTCTTTTTTTTTTAAATGGACCAAGCATTATAAGGTAAAAAACCTAATGCAGCTGTTACTAAAACAGCCCATTGTCAATTCATTCATGGTGAAAGAAGGATGAGATCTACGACATTTTGTTTACTTGGATGTGTGGGCCTGATTAGTATGTATTTAGTTGCATGCCTATAATATCATCCATGTATGATGATAATAGGGCGGGACAGGGTCTATGTCCATTTTCTTTAATTGGTCTCATATCTCAGTATTTTGGGATCTTCTCATCTCATACTTGAACGCATGGCCATTTTTATTGCCTTGTATTTTCCCCGCCCAAAAGCCCTAAACAAGCTTTTATCTCAGATTGTCTTTCAGATTAATTCATTTTGCTGATATGCTATAAATATTGAAATGAAAGAATTATATATAAATTACTACTTTACGCGAAAGTACGTACTTTTAGTCTTTGGACCAAATATTGCTATTTAAAAATTGTTTATTGATGCCATATAAGGATAAGGATATGGGATAGATTTGGGACAGGCTGAGAGCAGGGAAACTCTTGTATCAATTTAATAGAACAGGATAAGCTGAGTATTTATTACACAAATTGACATCCTTATATCTGTGTCTCCTGCCTGGTGCATGTTTAATAGTTCCGTTTTATTGGATGTCTTCCACGGGACACCAGGTGCATGTTTAATAATATACTGTACTACTATTTCTCATTGAACCCTTTGAAGACAGTTTACTTTAGATGTGCTCATTACTTGTTAATGATAAATGTAGGTAAATTTCTTTTTCAGTAACTTCTTAGTGAAAGTACTTTCGAACTTTGTCCAGCTTCCTTGTGGGAATCTCTAAGGGTGAAATCTTTGATACTACCCTTATCCTTAATATAACTAATTTGGATAGATAAAAAATTAATTAAATTATTTATTTGTCAAAAATATGTGTTGGTTTTCCTAAAATATTCTTTTAAATTGTTTGCATTGAAATTACCTTTTGATACAAATTCCCTTAATACGTGCAATCAGTAGGAATAGTTTGGGGAGAAAAATGATGAGTATGGAAAACAGAATTGATTGAGGTTTTATATTTATAACCAACTCAAATCCCCAACTAACTCTTATATTAGGTACGAGAGGTAGTATTTCCTTATTATGTTAAGGATTTTTGCCCTTGAGTGGTCAGAATTTTAGTCCTTGAGTGCTTCTCTGAAGAATCAAATCAATATTGTTAATGAGAGATACTATTTCTTATCAAATGAGCTAACTTTTATAGGTGGATGAGGAAAAGCTGAAATTAGAGAACAATTCAGTGCATGTTTGTTTGGTTGGTATGGTATGTTATCATGAACTGGTAAACAGAAAATAGAAGCTTGAATTTCTCACTCCCCATTTTTTTTTAAGCCTTCTCATCACCATGCCTACCTTCACTCTGAAAATCTTTTATTTTATAATAACTTTGTTTTTATCTGGTTTAGTTGGTCGTGGGATGTACTTTTGTTCGATTATTCAGCTAAACTTGACAGGAGAGAATGAACATCTTCGCCAATTGTTAAAAGAACAGATCATTTGTTGAAGAGCGATGTTTCTTGATGGCAAAAGAGATGCTATGATAAGATCTTCTCTAATGTACTGACATGAAAACTTCAGTTGTCATATAGAATATTTCTGTTTTATATAACAACTGAAGTTAATATGTCTAAATCAGTTAGAAGTGAGTTATGTTTAGTATTAGAGAAAGTATAAATATTTTTATAAGAGCTTTCTGAACTATGATAAATGAGACTCAAGCTTGTTTATTTTTTCTTTTGGCAAAAGTATACATATGATCGTTTAAATTCACATCAAGTCTCAGTTTCGTTTCTTATGCTTGTAAAGTGTATTTGGAGTCCTTAATATTAACATGGTTAACTTTCACTAACGGAAAATGTTGAATCAGCGAATTTAATGTTAACTCAGCAAAACATGTTTAAATTTAATTCCTTAGCATAATAATTTTAATCTTTTAATATGAGAGGATTTAACATAATGAATATAAAAAATTTGATGTAAGTATTTAAAAAATTGTTAAAGAAAAACTAAAACTGAAAATGCTTCTCCCGCTGCATGTGACAACATGGGAGCTGGTGGTCTTTGACCTTACAGTGTCCTGAGAAATGATAGTAACGACACAGGACAGTGGTAAGGAAATTATATCCTGGCCAATTTCTTTAATTTTCTGACTCTGATATGCCACTTAAATGCATAATTTGTGTACAGGATTTCTTTAATGTGCTGCTTATGCCAATTTTGAATACATTGATGATAAATGTCAGCCGTATAATTGATTAGATCAGTTACAATCTCCATTTTGGTGACTCCCTTGTAAAAGAAATCATACATACTCTTGTCCTCAGCGTCTAAACTAAAACCAAAAGCTCAGCATGTTTAAATTCAAAATAGTTGAAAACGAACTCTTCTTTGTTAACGTTAAGGAAGAACTCCTCATTCATATCAACGCCAAGCAAACCATTGTCTTCGTTACACAACTTCCTCATCTACAATCTGATCAAGGAATGCATATTGTGATGCATCAAAAAACAGAATACTAGCCCAAAGAAGTAGAACGCAATCAACAATATGGAATACCATTCTATAAGTCATTTTTAATTCATTCTCACATGCCAAAAAATGTATTAAATTAATAAAAAATTTTAAATTTATTCTTATTAAAGTTCTTTCTCTCTTTGTATTTACAAATCATTTTCACATTTATACCCCCCAAACAAAAAAAGGATTAAATGGGGAAAAATTGAAAAACAATCATTAAATGTCTTGCAACTACAAGTAACTTATATTTACTACCAACAATTTTCCTTACAAGTCCCTTATAATAACGACGTGAGTGGTTTTCAAAATTCTAAAAAATCACCTCAATTTGTAAAATTTTAAATCAGTTATAATAAATAAATTGAAATTTTAAAATGTTGGTGTATTGATGATGTTTTCCTTTGATTTTTTTTCAAAAACCTCAAGTCATCCCATCGTCCCATTGTCCCGTAACCAAGGTTCTAGCATTAAGGGAGTTATGAATATTATTATAAGAATTGTTAATTACGTTACGAATGTTGAAAAAAATTAATTAAAAAAAAAAGAAGATGTTGGATACTAGCAGCTTGCTGAAGCTCTGGGACTAATTGTTGGAGCAAACTAATGGAGTTGTAAATATTATAAGAGTTATTGAACATTTGAGGGATTATTGATATCATATGTTGCCAAAGTAAGCATGTCAAGTTCATTCATAAATGAACTACTTTATAACAAGCAAATTGCCAACTTCAGATTCAAAATAGAAGGAGACAGTAATACAATGATCAGGTTGTTTCAACATAACAACAATTAACCAAAACATACATATAATAAGCAACCATTAAATAGGAAAAAAATACAAATAATTCCCTTTGTCTTTCCTTATTCTTGCTTCACTAGCCTTGTTGGTTTTCCTTCATCCCGTCAGAATTGAGCAGCAACATGTTGTTGCTTATATTAATGTAACTGTTCTGATGGGGTTTTGTATTCCTCAGCCAACTTGTTATTTCTGGTTTTACAAGTGAAGCATGACATGTTAGCCCAACTCAGTCATGAAATCCTACAACTTGAAAAGAAAAATAATAATAATAAATGATGAACTAAACTAGGAAAAGTTTACCACAAACCAGCAGTAATGGTTGCCTGGTTCATAATAAATGTAGGATTTTGAGGATGCAGTGTTCTGTTTTTGGCATTCTCATAATTTATGGCCGCATTAGCCCCTCTAGCTAGTCTCTTTATTGTTACAAGTTAGTCCTCAATTTCAGTTATCTATCAGCATAGTATGGATACATTGGAAACAAGTAAACACTATATCTTCATAATACATATATGTTGTGTCCTAGATCAATTGAAATTTTCAAATATTGAATGCTTATCTTGGCATGAATATCTAGAAGTGTGAATAAATTTACACTCATTGAAGAAGTTTAGTCCCAAAAAAAATTATGTACCAATTTGAATTCAAAATTTTATGGGGATAAAGTAACTGCTTTGATACTAAAAACAACTCAGCACATTAAACAAGGTATTAAATTCAGATCTATAAAAAAA